CTAGAGAGCACATGTTCCTCCCTTCACGCTTGGCAAACTGAGTACCCGGAGGAGCAGTGGGCTGTGTAATTATTAAGGTCCGTCGGTCAGGGCGGTGAGGAAGGACAGACTGGCTGCCTTCAGCAGCCGGTGTCAGTGCTGCTCTGCGTCCCTTGCAGCATGCGGGGCCTGCAGCAGGAACTGGGAAAGGGAATCAGAACCGCAGACCACAGCACACAGCCACGTAGGCCCAGGCTCCCAACAGCTTCTTCCTGTTTCTTTTTAAAGTAGGATTTTTCTACAGTTCCTAACATTTTATCGATATGTACGTAATCGTGCTGATCTAACAAATTTGTGGATTTGTAAAAAACATAATACTACATTTTTCTATTTTGCCCTCAACTAGTTGAGGATGACTCAACCTCTGATTTCAAAGAAGTGCAGCCTCTTTTGAATTAAACAGGTCATCGTGCATGAGCTGCTCATAACAATTCGTTTATTTAAAAAACTCCCTCACATCTGATTCTGCCTGTTCACCACTTGTCATAGAAAGGGTGGCATCATCGTATGGTTTGGGTGCAGCAAAACAGGAGGCAGGAGACCTAGGTGATGGTCATGGCTCTTATGACACCACTGTGACCTCAGACAAGTTGTTTCATCTCCCTAAACCTTATTTTTACTTAACAGCTGAGGTCATGGGGTGAGATGTTGAAGAAGACTGTTGTCTCTAAAATTCTACACATTATTAAAGGTGTATTGCACGGAAATCACTTGACAGTTATGAATAAGAATAAACACATAATACACAGTCAAAGCAGCCAAGAAACCTGTCTTATATTTAAATAGGCTTTTAACTTCAAGGAGGCACAAAATTCTCCATGAAAATGATTTCATTACATTTATTTAAAAAATCTGAAAGTACACTGAAAATTCTGCGTTGACCACTTCTACATTCTTGTATTAGGTTGTTTTAAATTTAGCACCTGCTTGGTCTGTGGTTCTGTGGGTGTTGAGTTTTGAAGGCAAGGGGTCAGAGCGTGAGAAGCATGGCTTTGGCAGTCAGTGAGACCTGGGTTCTAACCTCGTCACTTTTATTGAACACAGTGGATGAGGGACAAGATTCATATTTTTTTCTCCTGCAAAATGGAGGTGACAATGCCTATGTCTTGAGCCCCCCCTGTATTTAGATGGGAACATGTGAGTGCGTGTAGCACAAAATCTCACAGGGAGCAAGCATCAACCGGAGGACGGTGTTCCAGAACCCTGTTCCCCTGCATCTGGCTAGGTATGTGGCAGGTGCTAGAAGCAAGGAGAAAAACTCACTAGCACTCTTTCTATAAAGTAAAAGGTAAAACCCATGTTCTCTTTGACCTAATTCTATTCCCAGATGTAACCAGGAAGGACATCACCTGGACTTGAGATGGGAACATCCCATGGTTTAACTTCCCCAAGTAACTAATGAATAAAATTCATTAAAAGCAACATTTACTGGACTTTCACTATGCGGCTTCTTTGGGGCACACCGGGCTGTCCCATCTCTGTCTGTTTGCATGTCCTTGTCCTAGACGTCCCATCCCCATCAGCATCCAAATGAAGGAGTCGCGTGAAGCTCGTCCTGGCAGGCTTCCCCATTGCTCAGGTAGCCGTCTCTCCTCTGCACCGAGTGCACTCAGACCTTTTCCTCTGCGCCCCCCTTTGTGCCATGCTGTCTCTGGGTGGGCCTCATTTTCCTGCAAAATGCCAAGTGCCTCAGAGACAAGGTCTTTGTTTTCTGCAGCTTCACAAGTATGTACAATATCTAACCCTGTCCCTTCCGCTCAGCTGCTCGAAAAATGCTTGCTGACTTAATAAACATAGTTTAAAATTTGGCAAAATATTTGAGAACATTAGAAGATACCTGGTGAGGTTTTGGTTTCAAAATGTAAAATTCCAGGTCATGTTTCTTCATGTTTTTAAAATAAAGGCATCATTAATTCCGGAAAATGACCTATTAATTTTGAGCCGCACAGAGTTTCCGTGGGAGACCTGCCCGGGGCCGTCCCTGCTGGAGGATGTCAATAGGGAGGGCAGGGAGGAAGGAAGGAACTCGGCGGTAACCGCATTCTCCACACTAGGCAGCGGGCCTCGCCCTAAACCCCCGGCCCTCACAAGTTCATGAGAATGGGAATAAAGAGGGGAACACTCACTACCTGCGTGTTCTCTTTTTCGATAAACATGAGCTGAAATTTCAAAAAGCATGAGCCTCTTAATAAAAGGAGCTTCACGCCCCAGTCCAAAGCAGGGAGCTGGCACCGTGATTGGCGTGCATGTGAATCAGGAACAAAGGGCGGCCCAGGAGGGCACCATGAACTTGGGACACCCACGTGACCTGCACACGCTGCTGCTCCCTTTCTCCCCAGGTCCTTCTGCAGCCTGTACCCGGTGTGTCATGGGCAGAATGGGCCACTTTCAATCTAAATCTTGTTACAGATTAATAAGCAAACATTTTCTTGCTTATTATGCAATTTATCATGATGAAAATTACATTGGACTCCTCAAGGCTAAATGCTGATACATTCATTTATTCAGAGCAGCGTATAAAGAGTCATACTAATCTTCATGACAGAAAAGGATATAATAGCAAGGTGTAAATTACCTACTGAAAGACCACAGTATTTGTGTCTGCAGTCACATTACATGTACTTAGATACTGCAACACAAGTGCATCTGCATGTTTGCTGACATAAGCTTCGTGTAAACTTTTTATTTAAAAACAAAATATTACACAGCAAAAAATAAAAACCCATCACTTCTCTTCCCAGGCAACAAAACAAGAATGAACACCATTGAAATTATGTTTAGATCAGATTTTAAAATAATCTACAATATTAGGTTAAAATGAAATTTTAGACAACCAGAAATACTAAAGGGGGACCCATGGTCACGAGGGACCTGGGACCTGTGGTCACGAGGCCAGCACTGGACACGTGGGAGGGGCCACGGCACCTGCAGCCGAGGGGAAGACAAAGGCTGGAAACATGTTCTGGGGCTTCTCCCAAAGGCCGACTGCCTCCTGCTGCTGCTACTGCCACAAGCTCCTGGGTTTAGATTCCCTTCTAGTCCTGCAAGTCAGTCTAGAACCTTCCAACCTTCAGCATCCATAAACTATCCTGGCTACCCTTGTGTCAAACTGTTCATTCCAGCAATGGGCAGTTCCTGGTCTGTTGAACACCAGGACAATGACAATGGCATCGCCACCGGGTTACCACCATTTAGGTAATGTCCACTCTTACCACGCGCTAATGCTCTTCTGAGCACTTTGCAAATATACTCATTTCACAGCAACCTGACAGGGTAGGTACTTTAATGAGCTCCACTCACAGAGTGAACTGAGGTGGAGGGATGAAGTGACTTCCTGAAGGGCACACAACTAGGGAGACACCAAGGTGGATGGAGAGTTCAGGAGTACGAAGAGATGAGATGATGGGTGAGGACAGCTGCCTATGTTTGAAATAAATACCTTCTCCTACAATAAGTCTTGGAATTTGGGGCCAGCAGTGTCCAGTCTGTAGACAAAGCCCAGCCTTCGAGTGTAGCCCTCATGTGTTTCTTTGGCCTCCATTTCTGAGCCTACAGCAGCTGCCAGAAAGACTACAGCACAAAGCATGCTGGACCAGAGAGAACTGTGGGCAAAGAACTCTAATGTTTCTGTTAAAGCTTAATAATGCTAAGAATGAAATTCCATTCACTGAGAAAATCAAAGGGGTGATCACAGTTACATTAAGAGAGACATCATGGGACAGTGCAAGAATTTCTACCACTGGGAATTCCCGCTCACAGCCGGAAAGTAGGTGATGGTGAGGATGTGGAGAAAATAAAACTCTTGCACGCTGCTGGTAGGAATGTACGATGGTGCAGCCACTGTGGAAAACAGTGGCTCCTCAATAATAAGTTAAACATGGAATTACCGTACAACTCCATCCACTTTTAGGTATCTACCCAAGAGAAATAAAAGCAAGTATTCAAACAAATCCCTGTGCATAAATGTTCACAGCAGCATTGTTCACAATAGCCAAAAGGTGGAAAAAACCTACATGTCCATCAACAAATAAAAGGACAAACAAAACGTGATACACCCATGAATGAACCTTGGAAAGATGCTAAGTGAAAGGAGTCAGACACGAAAGGCCACATGTTGCACAATTCCACTTAAGTGAAATATTCAGAAAAGGCAAATTCACAGATAGAAAACATCAGTGATTGCCAGCAACTGGTGTGTGTGTGCGCGGGGGAATGGCGTGTGACTGCTTAATGGGCGCGGAGTCTCCATTTGCAGTGACTACTTCCGAGAGCTTGACAGCAGGAATGGCTGCATAACCTTGTGAAAGCACTGAATGGTGCAGAATTATACACTTTAAGATGATTATAGCTCTAAATTGCCTGTTATGTGTACTATACCACCAAAAAAAAATCCCCCAAAACCTCCTTCAGGAATCAGGAGGCTGAGCTCTCAAGCCAACACTGACCGCCCCCACTCCAACTCGCAGCCACTGGGTAGTGCACGTTTCCCTTTATTTCATCTGGGCAGGGCCCTCAGCTCGGCTCCCTGCTGCTCCCAGTCTCTCTCCATCGCTTCCCTGGGTCACTGCCGGCTCCTTGACGGCCCTCCACTGGGTGCAAGTAAAACCTCAGAAAGCTGACTTAAAAGTTAAAACAAGTGCAAAGAAGTAATTCCCCCAAATATTTGCTCATGTATTCTGTCAGTAAAACACTGTGGGCAAATACACATATTTTTTTCTCCTATTATTAGCTAATAATCACAATAAACAATTTTAAAACTGTTACTGATCGATCACTGCTCCGTCCTAAATCCCAATGCTGTTATAAAATTAGAGGAATACACTTCCCTTTCAATGTCCTTACCCAAAATTTCATATATTGATATATTTGTGTATTTTTTCTATTAAAACACACAACTTATAAAGGGTAATCGATAACAACAAAACAAACACAAATCCCGTTAACCAGAACTGAGCACCTACTTGGCCAGCTGTTTCTCGGCATCAGCACAAAGTTCTAGAAGCCCCATCAGGACGGCGGACACGTCCATGTAGGGCTCCCACACTGTGAACCCGCGTCCAATCAGATCGGTTGCCGTCCTCCGGATAGTACTGTGCGGAGGCAGTTTGGGGCTCGGGGGCTGCAGCAGAAGAAACGTCAGTGCTTTGCCTACGGTCACAAAATAGAAGGCAAAACAATAAAGTGATTTCACTCTTGTGATATTCTCTTTGAGGCATGTTTTCAAAATATAAACCGCTTTGGATTCGTCTGGCTACAATATCTTGCACCATAGTCTAGTACTTTAGTTACATAAAAAGTACAGATAAGTATACACAATAAACTTCCAGTGTTTCTTCTGCAAAGTGGCGATGGCTTCAAGTGACGTAATGTGGTATCTCTCACCTTCCTTCTGCATCTAACAGAGTTCGCATGTCAAACACATCCCACCAGTGACACATCTCACTACAGACGACATTCACCCACGGGACTGAGGGATGGAGAGGGCAGAATGTGCAGCTTGAGAAAGTGTCCCCTCCTAAGCACATACATGTCCCTCCACCTCCCGGTGTTCTGAGTAGGATGGTGCCACATGTGTGCCAAATTCTTCACGCAGGTTAGCTAAATTAAAAAACAGTTCAATATGGCGCTTAAAAGTGTTGAAGTGATCAAGATTTTAATTAACCTGCACTGCTTTATGTTGAAGATAATGCTGACACTTTGAATACGTGTGCCTAGTGGCCATTAAGCTGCAGAGGCCCATCTACTTCAAAAGGCGTTCTGACATTGAAGAAAGAAACACTCAAGGGATTGTGAAGCGCAGACTGCAATAAGGAGTGGTTTTTTTGTTTGTCTGTTTGAATTTTTGAAGGGAAGAGACAACACAGTTTATAAATCACAGAACAGGGTAGCACACGGGACAGAGGAGCACAGGGTTCGGATCTAAGGCAGACGTTTCTGAAACAAACAGCTTGTTAATGGCACACCCAGGACTGTACCCACCACCAGGCACGAAGAGGCAGAAGAACCTGTGCCAGGTAAGTCACCCCCTGTTAAAGTCTGATTACGCTCACTGGCTGGAATTACACCACACATAACAATACAGACACATGGTACGCTCCCCCTGGTTTCCAGGGAGGATGGGAACGTGGTTTGTCAGCTGCGCCCACATTTATCTCCAACAAAACTGAAGTTTTGCGCACAGGGAAGGGGAGAACATTGCACAAGGAGCTAGAAATGTCTGCCACATCTTTGCTGTTTACCTTAGAATGAAATTCTTATTATTGATACAGCAATTAGCACCCATGCATTTAACCAACAATAATATGTCATCTCTTGGAATTTATTCTCTTGTCTAAAGCTAATTTTACTCACTTGTTATTATTTTATTTTATTGCCTTTTCATACATGCTAATTGAGTACATTCCCTGAGATATATTTTTAAAAATATTTTTATGTTTGTCATAGGCTTAGCACAATGCCTAATATTCAGTAAATACTTGGTACATACTGCTGCTTTGGCAAATACTAAAAATTATACTATACATATTCAGCATAGTCAACAAAATTATACACAGATCGGGGATCTCCAAGAGTCTGCCATATACCTTCCCCGTGGGGAAGCTTCCATGGCTCTGAGGTGAAATGGTAAAAAAGCATAAACAATGCAGTAAGTCCTCACCATAAAGCTAAACTTACTCAACTTACGGGAGTGCTTGTTTGAGGTTGATGTTCTTACTATCTTTTTGGAGAATAAAACTTTTTAAATAAAATAATGGAGAGTGGCATTTTTTAGTTTTTTACTCAGCAAATAAAAGTTTTAAACACTGATAAATACCTTCAAATTTTATTTTTGGAAATTGACTGGACCATGATATCGAAACAAGTGCTATTTGTAATACAGAGACTGTCCCAAGGAACCGCGAGGGTGTCTTGTCCCATGGTAAGCGTCACGAGTTAGTGGTCCCTGGTCTGCCTGCTGGTCACTGGTTCTTAACTGTGTCTGCCAGGAGGCTGTTCCTAACTCAGCTTGCTGCAGGGTGAAACTCAGCATTGTTCGCATCAACCTGGGACCATATTCAAGGTCAAGTAACCGAACAACTGGTCTTTCTTCACTGAGAGGAAGCTGAGCAGTACAGCTACTGTGGCAGCTTCGTGGAGGGCACTTAGGGTGTAGCAGGCACCCCATCATCACCACCCCTGTATGTCTAGGCAAAGGTCCAAATGAGCTAACAAATCAAAATAAAATGCTTTAAAAGGCAGAGAGCCCGAAAATGCAGCATTGGATAAATCACAATGAACTTAGAGCCCCTGGCAGCTGAGAGAGGAATTCTGTTGTCATACAGTCAAGAGTGATAACAATAGCTCAGAGTTTAGTGCTACTTTATCTCAAGCATTTGTGTATTCCAATTTCAATCTTGCTGTTTTTATTAAAAAAATGCTACAAAAGAGCAAAGCTGCAAGAAAATGTCTACTCTTTGCTGTAACAGCAAAATGCAAAGGATGAGAAGACGGCTGAGACAGAGAAGGAACATAAAGCCTGTATAAGCAGTGGTCAAAAACTGATGGTGTTATACAGCGACTTACTCATTGCTTTGCTTTGCCAAGATGAATACTCTCCAATCATAAATGGACCAATAAAAAACAATTCACTTAAGCAAAAGTTGTAGTACCTAACAGGTTATAGTGACCAGCTCTTTTAAAAGATTAATATGCAAGCCATTACACTAACACACTCACCATGCTATTACGTAGGTAATACTGAACTTGTTTTCTGGAGTATTTATTTGTCCTTTTCACAGCTTAGACTCGCTTTACCGACACACCCTACGTTTCTTGAATGCCTATGACATGAAAACTGAAAACACTGTTGACTCTAAAGGCCTGTAGTTTTATATTTCTGTAAGTATCAGGTATTATTTTCAGCATCGTCCATTTGATAATACATGACAGTTTTTGGCTTCTTTTACTCACTGAAAGCACACACCCTCAGGGTCAACGGCCAGTTGTGTGCACGAACAGAACACTTTTCAAACTAATTCAGACCTTTACTTCCATACAAGCACAGATGCCGCTACTATGATATGTTCATGATACGAACATGAAGCAGGTATTTCATTGACCCAGTTTTTCGGTGTGAAAAATAGCATTAAACAAGGAAGGTTCACTTGAGAAGTGGTATAAAATCGGCAGCATTTTTCTCCAACTGCCCATTTGTAATGTCTATTTCCTCTTTTTTTTTTTGGCTTAAGTTTTCCCTCCCATGATGCTCCCCTTGCTCCACCCTGAACGATGAAGGAAACAGGCCCCAGGTAACTGCGGAGGCAGAGGGAGAAAGACGTGGAGCCGAGCAGGGCACATCGGCAGGGGACCGGACAGCTGGAGCAGGGCGGGCCTCCCTGCCGAAGGCGCGGGGACTTGGACTTCATGGTGGCTGACACAGGAACCAGGGCCAACGAAAGGGAGCTTTAAAAATTAGAAACTAAAACAGAAGCCAGAGTCAAACCACACTTATCAAGGGAGAATGACATTTTCTTATAAGAAATACTACAAAATCATAGCATTTCAGAGGATTATTCTTCAAAGAGCCCTCAGAGATCAGTGACAATTATTATCGCCGAACTGCTTATAGGTAAAATATATCATCATTTTCTTGGGCTTTGGTTAAGGCAAACTTGCTCCTCATACTTAAAAGGAAATTATGAATGAAGAAATGGCCGCTAACCATCCGTGGCTCTAAACATTAGAGAAGGGAAAAAGGTCATATTTAAAAAATACATTAATTAATAGCTCAATTACAAAGAAATTCCTGTGGGAGAACATATTATATGCACTTTAAGCCAAAGGAATTTATGATGATTTATGCCATTACAATGAGTGCAAAATGAATTAATAATGATTGGCTACTTATTTCAAAGTATAACCAAGTGAATAAAGCCTTCTCTTATTTGCTAATGTCCATCAAAGAACGGGGATGTCGCTTGCTGTCTAAATTCCATCTCCTGACTTTATATGAGTGCTCAATTTGATTAAAAATAATTCCAATGTAGTGTGCATTATTCATGGATACAGAATAATTAATAAACATTTCTACAACTAGATGCTTGGGATTAATGCAGTTATTAGAAAATGCTCTTCAACTTTTAACATTCTCCATGACATAAAAAGCAAGTCATTATTTCTTTTAATAAGCATAAAATAACTCTGATAAATTAGGAAATCAATTTGATAAAGATATTGAGCATAAAATTCATAAGTGCTTTGATTCAAAGTTCTTTTTTTTTCTGTTCTATTTTGACTTATGAATTAACCAAGCTGTGATATATAGTGAAGGTTAATCTCATCTTGCTTTGGGTAGTTAATGGATTTTGGATGGCAGACTAAAATAAGAGATAGTTACCTTCCTATAAACAAACAAGAAACTATTACTTAATGCACATTTTTTTTTTTCTGCCTATGGAAGGTAATGCGTGCTGACTGTTCGACAGTCTAGGGGTCGGCAGTAAAGAATTAAAGTAACAGGAGTTTCATGATGTCAAAGAAATAAAAAAAAGAAAAAACCCATTAATCTGCTAAATCTTTAGTTGAGTGGTCCAAACACTTCTGTGTCCTGTTCCCGAAAGGTGCAGGATTATTGAATGACAGGAGTGGAGGGGTGGGGCAGGGGACAAGAGAATGCGAGGGCTTAAGATCGAGCTCTAGCACCTACTGGCTGCTGATGCTTTCATTCATTTGGTATTTAATTTCATTCATTTGGTATTTACTAGTGCAGGTGGTGTGCCAGGCACTGTGTTAAGTGCAGGGTAACTAAGTCTGCTCTCATGAAGCTTATGTTCTACTTGGGACGTAAAAACCAAATGAACAGCCCTGACTAATGTGGCTCAGTGGGTTGGGCGTCGTCCTGCAAAATGAAAGGTCTCCAGTTCGATTCCGAGTTAGGGCATATGCCTGGGTTGTGGGTTTGATCCCTGGTTGGGGTGCATGTGAGAGGCAACTGATTGATGCTTCTCTGTCACATTGATGTTTCTCTCTCTTTCCTTCTCCTCCCGTACCCTCTCTCTAAAAATGAATAAATAGAATTTTTTAAAAAGAGAAAAACTACATGAATATAAAATACACGTGTCAAACAATAAGTGCTGTGGACAAAAATAAAGCAGAGTAAGAGTACAGAA